ACTGCTAATGCAGCCGCAGCCGCATGGATATGGCATTTCTACGGCGTCATCATGCAACCTTGGACAAAATCATTGTCCTTTAGTCAATTATGGTGTTTTCTTCCTTATGGCTGTATTCAAATAGTTTTAGTATAATTTACTTTATAGGCACTCTTCACTGTTTGCAATATGTGTGCAGTGCTGACTTTCGTAACCACAGAATCTAATCTGTCAAATCATATTCTGTCAATCACTCGCGTGTTACTGAATTACTGAAATATAGTTAATTGTTTCCTCATCCTATGTACACCTTAGCCATCTCGGCTTTTTTCAGTTTAATGGATAATACAATCGGGCCTACCAGCAGCCGAGCGGTTAAGCCGCTGAACACTGGTTTGTTCGGTCTTTAAGAATGGACTCGCTGCTTGGGCGTTTTCGAGGATTTTCCCTATATGTAACGGGTATACGAGCCAGTTTCCTTTAGAAAGTCCTCGACGAAGGCATCCCTTCCCATAGGCGGATAGCCATCGAGTGATTTGCCATATTTAAACAAAGAAAAAGAAAATTATAATTCAGTCGAACCTTTGGCGGCAAGTTAATGAATTATTTTCCTAACCCGTCACGAAAACAAAAATTTAGCTACTTTATCTCGTTATAGCAAAATGCAAAAGGCCATGGTTGTCAGACTGTATATTCAAACACGTTGATGTGTAGCTTTGATAAAGTCCAATAAAGGACTGCGTGGCTAATATCGCTAAGAGAAACAGCTTACGTTTTAAAACCTTTCAGTCAGTCTTTGTAAAATTTGTTTTTAATAATTCATTCAAGATCTCGTAAAAAATATAACGGATGAGATAAAGCAACATTGAAGAATTTGAAATTATATAAAGGCATCTTCAATATTTGCTGCAATAATTAAACTCATAGAATTAAAGATGTATTAAGTCTTTAAGAATGCCTTGTAACTTAAACATTAAGGAAACACTTAGCATTTCCTTTTCAGTTGCTTCCGTAGAATGTTTCCATTTTCTAATAATTTATACATATCAGGTATATGTTATTCTTTAAAATAAATTTCCCGATCCGTAATAAAGTAACGTATTTCGCAATAAAATCACATAAATCACAAACTAATTTGGTTAGATAAAGAACTAGAATGATAGCATAGCACCCATGTGCTTTGCATATAGAAATAACTTTCAGCCTTCAGCTGAATACTTCATTATGGTATGATCAATACATAAAAAAACCAAATAAGTGAAAAACGAATTCTTATTTTATCTAATAGCATTTAACAAACGACTTTAATATAAGTTTGAATATTTCGTATTTATTCACAGGGTATATAAATGTAGAAATAAAAAGAACAAGAATTTTGGAAGTAAATATAAAGAAATTAATTGGAATTCTGTAAGTTTGAAATGAAATATAAAAAGTCATTTGATTTCTAGTAGTTTGGAACGAAACATTAAAAATTTATTTGAACTCTAGTAATCTATTTGTGCTCATAAATGTAATATTTTTATAATAATTCAAGTTATTTGAACGTCTCTGAAAGCTAAGCTAGATATAAGATACATCCCAAAATAACATTGTAGACAGTTTCTATTCTATTAATGTTTCAGCAAATAACGGCAATGTGTAATGAGTATTTGGATTTTATCATATTAAATATCAATGATCTCATTATTTTGACTACACATCGTATAAATTGTAAAAACACTCATTTAAAAACAAAATATTTCATTTTCAGTCTGTTCTATTATGTAAAAATAAAAGCTAAAAATTTCTATACAAATAAAGTAATATTTGCAATAAAGAAGTAAAAAGATCATAATAATTGGAGCTGAATGTGACAGGAAAATTATAAAAATATTCGTTATTTTTGTATCAAATATATCCCTGGAATATCTGATTCAAAAATGCTCAAAATAATACAGTAAAATATGAAAATATTTGTTATAAGAACATTAATATATTTGTTATATTATCATTCCCTGATTTCTTTAATGATACGCTCTATTCTTTTATTTTGTATTATTTATATTTTTTTTCTGTTGCTGATGAAACATTCGTAATACGATACTGTATATTTGAAGCAACTGATAAAAATAATGTCGCGTTAAATAAGTAATGAACGTATTCATCATTCCCTTTTTATATTTTAATTAGAAATTTCAAATGTTTTCTCGAGCATTTTATGCAAGGTAATCATCAACTCAACCAGATTTTCTCTGAACCATCTAAGGCGCAAGCATAAATTTCTTTTTATCTTTTCTTTGTTTGTTTTTGGTTTTCAAAAGGGAAGAAAAGGGAATTTAGCTTTGAATATTTTATGTAACTTTCAGATTCCATTATTTCTGTTCAAAAGAGAAGAAAAACATAAACAAATGAACCATTTTTAACAACTCATCGGTTTTATGCAGATCATAAAATTATGCAAAATTATGTTGCATTACATAATTTCTTGTGGGTTACAAGATGAGTTTAATAAAAGGAAAAAGTGAACCAAGTAAACAGGGAATAGAGTGTAAAAATTAATTTAAATTTTAAATCTGACATTTCTGTCATGGCATATGTATGTAATAATATATTTACGGATTTTTGTAAAAAAACATCAATTCTTTAAGAGATTTATATTTCCATTCTTAATTTCATTTCTTTTATTAAGAGTTGCATTTTTCATAACACTTTTTTCGTTCAAACCTAACTACGCTGATTCTCTCGGTATGTAATGTTTGCAACATATTTAAAATATTTTCAAGGAATTTGTCAAGAAGCACATTTCTTTTAGTCTTAAGTGTATGATTTGAGATATTTAATGTTTGCTATTGTAGATAATCAAGAAAAGTAATGCGTCAAGTGTTTTAAGATATCATAAACACAAAAATTAAATTTCTTCACGACAGGAAGTAACCCATTTATACTAAGCAGATAAGTTTCGAGACTTAATTTAAGTACGTAACTTAAGCATCAATTTTATGTACAGGAATTCAATTTGAGAAACAAAATCCGAGAAATTAATAAGTGAAAATGTTGCTTTTCTGTGAAAGATATTGTCAAATTGTTGTAATAGCTCTCAAGCTGCAACTACTACAATATTAAAAAATCACTTAAATCGTAACAACTCGTGCACACCCGCAAGCAGATTTGATCCATATGGTAGAAATTTGTGTCGTCAGGTGTATTGCCTTCCTGCTGATCACTCCGAAAATGCTATTATACTATTTTGATATTATTTAGGTGAATAATAAGAGAAACCATGCGTTTTAGGTGCAAGGTGCCTTGTACTTCCTTACAGTCTTCATCGAAGGTATTAATGTTGTCGTTTGCTACTCAAGTTTATCAATAATGCAAGTATTACCGTTTTCAAGAAGATCATACAATTCAGGTTCCCTTATATCTTGTTTTATAATATATATATACAATATATATTTCATATATACAATCAAGCGTACATAATTCCTGTAAATACTGTCTGAGAAAGAAACCACATAACAATGCTAAATAAGTAATTTTATTTTTAAACGAACGTTAAGTAAGTTTTAAAAAATTTTAACTTGATTAATGCCTAAATATAATGAAATGAAGTATTGAAGCCTGACTGCCTAAAAAATAAATTACTAAATAAATTACTAACTTACTTATTAATTAATTAAAAAATAAATTATATTACTAAATCTAAAACCATGAATTGCAACCTGAAAAATTCTGCATCTCTTAATTATGTTTTTCATTATTATCTTTCAAGCATTACCGGAACGTTCTTTATTTGGAAATGGAAGGAATAAAATAAATGAAATATTTCTTATTTCTTTTCATTAATGATACCTTTAACGAAGAATTATTGAAAACGGGAGAAATTCCGAATAAATAAGCGTTTAGTTTTAAAATAAAAATAAATGTTGTCTGATGAGAGGAATAAATCTGCTAAAGTGTGCAGATTTACCTGCTTTAACTAAATAATTACATTATAACGTTTTAAGATTTTAATTCTCAAGTAGAATTAACGAAAGATATTTAAACAAAAGCTTAGTCTAATTTAAATGTCAATGGTAATTTAAAAGTTGCGAATGTAAGAAGCTAAAGGGTTCAGGAGTTTTACTAGTACGTTGCTTAATTTCAGCAAAAGCTAGGTACAAAATGAACGTAATTGCTTAGATTTTTTTTTTTCAGAAGCAAGTTCAAACATTTAAAAATATTAATTCAATTACTTTTAAAATTCCTAAGCAATAACATGATATTAGGTTCAAGCGTAATATATTATATAACACGGCATTAGGATAATTTAGATAATTTTGGAACATTAATTATTAAAATGCTTCGTCAAATGATATAGGTTCTTGACATCGGTTCCTTGGTGCTATTTTAATGAAATGTATTTTTATTAAATTTTATTTCACTGAGGTTAAATATAGGATCGTTATTTATCAGACATACCTAAACATAAAATTACATTAATTTGCGAATTTTGTATGCATATTCTAATTCCATTATTGTAAAACTGAATGTAATAAATTCGTAAAATTGAATATAATAATATACTATATTACTTTTAACTAACGCTAATATAATTATATTTTTATGTATTCTGTTACATTATTGAGATATATATACTACTTTAATGTAATAAAATACATTTCTCTTTGTGGTGAGTTGCATATAATGTAATGTCGGTAAGAGGATGTATTTTATAAAAATCACTTTTATAAACGTTTTCTAATTTAGTTATTAGATTTCCTTTATGGTGAAGACATGAGAAACGTGCAGCACCCTCGCCGCGACTCGAACCCTAGACCTTTCAAATACGCGCCGAGTATGCTTCCAATTACAACACGAAGGCATGTGGAAAGGGGGAGAAATACTTTATATACCACCCCCTTTTAAAGGGCGACTGTGTATTACGGGACACAGTCGTCAAATCCTGGGATTGACGAATTTTCATCCACCACCTTTTAGTTCGGGCGCCACTTGTAGAGTCATTAGGTTATTTTAAAGCGGGAGAAGTGAAAAATTCGCAGTGCTCTCGCCGGGACTCGAACCCTGGACATCTCGAATATACGTCGAGCATGCTTCCAATTACACTACAAAAGCATGCGGAAAGGACAGAAAAAATACCTTATAATAGAAAAAAGTTTAAAGAATGTATCCGTAAACAAACAGATAAAATAAAATCTTAATATTTTATATTTAATATGCTATTTAACATGACTGTGCGAAGACTAGCATTATTATTATTTTTTTTTTCATTAATGGCTTTCAAAATCGTAACTCTAAGTTAAAAAGTTTAGTTATAGTTAAAGTAAGTTCTACTTGATACCATCTTCAAATACTTTCTATTTCCCTTGAGGCACGAATGCCCAATCGACACACTTGAGCTCATGTAGTTATAGCCTTCGCCGGAAAACCAAAAATTGCATAAACTTCATAAAAGTTTGAGTGAATGAGTGAGTGGTCTTGAGTTTGAAAGCTACTGTATACGACTGTTTATTTAAATGAACCAGAGCCTTCATAAAGGCCAAAAGTAATTAAAGACTAATATTTCTAAGAATGAAGACACTGAAATGCAAACTGATATTAAACCAGTCTCAATTTAAGAGCAAAATTTTAATTTAGTATGCAACTCTAGAAAAAGTCAGCAAAAAATATGCGGCATCAATTTTTGCATCAAAAGATTTTGAGAGAAAATTTCTTAAGATTTCAAAAAGCACCAAACGGATTTTATTACTCTAGGTACTTTCGCTCTTTTCAGTAACCATAGGAACTGCCGGCAGACATCCAGATGGAATGCCTATAAATGTAAGCAACTAACTAAATATGTGCAAAACGTTCAAAACATTTACATAATTGAACTTTTATTAATCTATAGCTACATAAACTTTCATTTCATTAAAGAGGGTGATTGTCCGGCGAAGTTGTAGAATCATTAGGTTATTTTGAAGCAGGAATTATGAAAAGTTACCAATGCCCAGGATTCAAACCTGGATCTCTAGAACAGATGCCGAGTATGCTAACCGTTTCACCACGAAGGCATGCTGGAAGAAGATAGAAAATATCTTATAAAGTGTCCTTCTGGAATTATGTACATTTCCAAACAATGTGTTTTCCGTAAAACAAAAATTTGAAGACCACTGTTATTAAATTTGAAAAACATAAAATAATAAAATTAATATGCATGCCATGATACTCAGGAAGATGCTAAATATATACATTTAAACTACCATATTAATCTGTTTTCTAATAATTGTGTCTTCCACTGAAAAGTAAGTGGAACGTTATCAGACGTAATGGTAATGTAGGCTGTAATTCTAATCGTTACTAGATGTTAAATTCTGCATGAGGACTTAGGCATACTGTACTCGGAAGGTGCGTTCCTTCTGAAAATCCTTATTAAATCATGCGAGTCAGAAGCATCAAAGAGTCGGTCATACCAGGCTTAAAGTAACAAATTAAGATTTCAAACTTATCTGTTAATTCTAATTCATTTGCATCAGAAAGGAAATCATCTGGGCTAACAATCTTTCTTTTATAACATCTGGCAACGAAAACGCATGGCGATATTTCAATATGTTATACAAAGAAGACTGTAAATATCTTCCATTTAGCGGATTTATTTTAATTGTATGAATACGTTATCTGTGTGGCATATTTGATTTATCGCGAAAATATGTTAATTTAGGCAATGCTCGATACTTAAATTTGGATTTCAGAAAAAGGGGAATAATGATTTTAAGAAATATTTCCAACCCTGCCATTTATCAATGCGTTAAAATTGAAATCAATTTTTGTAACACTGTTATCTTATTTTAAGACTAAATGCACTGTAAAGTTAGCAGTAAGTTTTGCACTACTATACTCTGGACAAAATAACATAAACCAATGAATTTGCATTCATCATCTTCTTTGCTTGAACTTGCTGTTTTTGCGTATTTGCTTCATTGTGATTATACTAAATGTAAATATTCAAATTTTGTTCCAACAGATAACCAATCCTATATTTATATTTGACAAATCTGTTATGACTCATGGGTTCTTTTGAATATTTATTGATTTTACCTTTACTGATGGAATTAGTTTAAATATAATTGCAGCTACAAACTATTTATTTATTACTTTTTTATTATTTGTTTCTTTATTTTTTTAGCTTGAGGCTCTTTTCATATTTTTTTGGTTATTTTGCTTGAGAATTACGACAATATGCTATAGTTTAGATTATGATACTTTTTGTATTAAACAGTTATTTCTATGCGTTCAAATTATTCTGCAAAATGATTTTCCATTCCATACCGTTTCACAATTAAAGGCCATATATTTCTGCACTCTTACGTAAACCGAATATTGAATGGCATTTCCTTAAAAGCGAAAATCCTCTTCCGTTCACTTTCAAGAGCAGAAGATATGTGTTAATATAGGTTTTTCATAAAACGAACGTTTATAAGACAGTTCTTAAGTATATAACACCTGTTTATAACACCTGTATAGTTCGTAAGGAAGAAAATACCTGTATTACAGTTCACTTGATGCTACAATAAGAATGAATGTTCACAAAATCAAAATGTCGTGGACTGGAGTACAACAAACAAATGTCCATGGACTTTTCTCCTCGATTCCATACCGCTATTGGTTGCCCCTATTGGTTGTTATGCAGTTATTGCCCCTATTGGTTGGTATAAGAAAAACTGATATTTTATGTTTTGTAGATCGAAGCCTCTGTAACTGTAATCACTGCACCCTTGCATAATTAATAGTTTACATAACGCATTTGACACTATTGCCTCTTACTTTGCACAGTATTGCGCTTTTAAACGTCAGATGCATATATTAAAACATTTTTTGATTATTTATTAACGCAGATCTGCATTAGTACATGGCAAGCTTTATTACACATCTATTTTAAGCTTTCAAATTATGCAAGTTAAAATTTACGTTTTCATTTTTACTTGAATGCTTTGGTTGTCTTAACTAGCATTATAAATTTTAAAGTGAGATAATTTTTGGGATGTTAGTAAAACATCACTTTGTTTCATCACTTTCATCATGTTTTCAGTTTTGCAGCCTTATTCACTTATTGTCACATTCGTTCATTTAAAATGTTAATACTTATTTGTTTTTCTGCACAAATTTGCTAGTGGCAATGAATACAGGTGAATGAAAGTGATTATTTGCACGTAAATAATGAATTACAGAGCAACAAATATATGGGCAAATGTTTTGACTAAATTTAGGAAGCTAAGGATTCTAAAATATGCATATTATATACATTACCGTATATTTTATTATTATTGATTTTATACTGAATATTTCTGAACTGACTATAAAAAAATAAGAAAGAATAAAAAAAAACTGCAAATGTGTGGAAAATTAATGCTACTTATAGTTATTAATAGAATTTAAATATCCTACTGAAATATTATATATCTTACATGTTTCGTCATAATTAACAAATAGATATCCAAATGATTAACTTCATACTATATATGACAACGTTAACACTTTCAGAAAACGAATAAACTGAAACGAAGCAAGATTTAAAGATTTAACTTTTACTAAATAATACAGCATTCACAAAGGTGAAGAAAAGTAATTTCACATTACTTTCTCTTTAGATCCTGGAAACTGTGAAATGAAATTGATCATTTCAAGTTATACGAATTTGGAACGTTTTTCTCTAAACTTGTGTATTTCCCATTCTGTGACTTAACCTTTCCAGCAAATCTACCCAATCGTTTTTCATCTTTCTTACTTTCCGTATTTCCACAATTGCTAGTAAACATATAATTGATGGTTACAAAATGTACGATCACTAATTCCTGATCCATGTTAAATGATGAATCTTTAACAATTTCAGCTTCCAAGAGAAGCCAACATTTTCCCGACTTTGCAATTATATACAGTATCAACACAAATAATCAAATAAATTATTTTAGGAAAATTCCTGAACAATATCAATAACAGAATGCAAAATTTACTTTGGATAATGCAAACAAGAGAGATTAATGCAAACTAAGAAAGCTTTATCTGCTAACTATAATGACCAACTTTGATTCGCTAAGAATACAGGACGTGGACATTTTTCTACTAAAGACCAAAGAATAATGGCAATAGATTCGAGGAAAAGGTAACATGATTTGACACGTGTCAAATTCAACTATTGTAAAGATAAGGATTTTAAAATGTCTTTCTATCTTAGAATCTGATCGTTCATTAAACTGATGGTCTTAAGGCTCAACAAATATACTCGGGAATTAATTTTACATGCTGTACAAATAAAAACTGTCCAAATTTACCATTTCATTTATATACTTGCAAAAACTAAATCAGGTTTAGCATATCCACCAAGCTGTTGCGTACTTCGTAGTCATCAAAGTGATTTTAAGCAAATCCTTACATGTTATAAAACTTAAAATAGTCAGTGTGTTCAAGTTTTTATGCAATCCTATAACTGGAACATTATTAATTTTGAGTATATAAATTTCGCATGCCTTCGATTTGTAATCGGAAGCACACTCGATTCGTATTCACTTGGTCTGGAGTTCGAATCCTGGCGAGAGTACTGCGGATTTCTTCAGTTTCCTCACATGGAAAAATTCCAATGACCCTGCAAATCTTAAAACACTGTAATTCAGAAATTTGTTTCCGCGCTTCATCATTTGCTCCAGAATTAACGGTTTTTATAATTTTCTTATATTTGAGAGTTTCAAGAGTTTAAATATATATCTGTTCTAAGATCACTTTGTTATAGCAGAAAGAAATGAGAAATTTTTCTTTAACACAATACCTAATCGCTTTCTCAGTGATAAGTAGCATTTCATTAACTGCTATTGAATTATTACACGATTTGTAAGAAAATAAAACAATTCCTTTATCTCGAACAATCTGTTCTTCCGTAAGATGTTGAATCTAGAAGTAAATACTAAGTAAGCATTATATTGAAACAAAAGCATTGTGATAAATTCAGATATTCTCAGATGAGAGTAATCTTGTTTGTGACAGTAATTTAATTTGCTTGTGGCCATTATATTTAAATACATTGCAGAAAAAGAGTGCATTCCTTCAGAAAAAGAGTGCATTAACTAAGTTATTGATTTAAATCCAGTATATGAATGCTTATATAAAATATTCCATAAACGTAATGAAAAATCCATAACATAAAAAGACTTAGTATGATGAAATTAATTATTAACGATAAACTAAATTTGTTGATATAATTTATCCAAAAGAATAAATAATATGCAGATGGTTTTACAAAAATTTCAAGTTCTAATATACGTCAATTTTTTTTATTGTCACCGGTAGTAAAACTCGATCTACTTTCTGGAGGACATTTTGTTTCAAAAGCATTCTTTTTGTTTAACTGTCACTTCGTTAATAGGTATTATTGAGATAACCTAATCAAACGTTTAGATTCCTACCACTAATAATAAATTAGAGTTACGCTCTGATTCTTCGTTTTATGTCATAAATGTGAAACCTGTACGTCTGAAAGAAGTAGTTTATTAATAGTAATAGAGTAATAGTATATTGAACTCGATCATCGAAGTTATTGATTTGAAAAAAAAATAAATCCCAAGTTTAAATAGCTAGTAGACGAAAATTAACTGTATGTAATGAAACTAAAAGTCATTGCAGGAACTAGAGATAAGTAGTTAAAACTATCAGAGTGTTCTGCAAAGCGAAATTTGACATAGTTATAAGCGACCCATCGATAGAAAATATGTTACGGACAAATTAATTTAGCATGTCGTAGATCTTTTATAAAACATCGCCAGACAAAAGTATGTTTGAGTATTTCGTAAAATAAATTTGACACATAAACGACTATAAGAGTTCTCTTCCAAAAGAATTTAAATAGATTAAGGGATCATTCAGATGACCGTTTAAATAACATAAGGCTTGATAAAATGAGAGATGGTACTCTTGGGATCAGACTACCTGTACATAAAATATTCAGAGGAAAGGGCATGATATAAGATCTTTAAAAGCAATAAAATAGACATGGCCCGGTGCCTTAAATAAATGTTCCCTGTAACAACAATATAAAATTGAAGATTTTTGTCTCTTACACAGTCTTTTCATGCAAGTTAACTATGATTCAGTCCCTATAGATAATGAAAATGATATTTCTATAAATAACATAGTTCTAAATAATTAAGAATAATTAGCCTGTTAACGACAGCTTGAAAGACTCAGCTTAAAAGACTATATTGTGAGGCATATCTTCATTAGACTCAAGTACTATCTCTAATTTTATCAAGCCTTAAATTATTTAATGTCCTAATATTTAAGACATAAGGCTTTCAAGTATATTCTACCTAACATTAAAAAGTTTGAAAATTAATATCATTTTACTTCTTTTGAAACCTGATGCCGTTCGAAGTGTAGTCGAAATTTATACGAATGGGAAGAACTCGAGTTGCGTTGGTTCTACTCGAGTGACACATTACCTTTCGTCGCTTCTTACAACTATCTTAAATAAGTTGTTGAGTACTGGTGGTATATCAAACCATTTATACTTTTCATTACATTTATAACTGAAATTAATTTAATTTATAGGGCTATATTTTAGTTCTTCAAGTATTCTTGTAATACGTAAAAGTGTACGAAGCACAGTGTAATGAAGTAGTAGTTCTAACTTTAAACAATAACCTTTGTTTTAACTATATAGGTTATGTTATTTAATTACGGCAAAGCCTCGAGGGCTATCTGCCTAAGGGTAGGGATGCCTTCGTGGAGGACTTTCTATGGGAAACTGGCTCGTATACACGTTACACATGCGGAAAACCACGAAAACACGCATCCAGCCAGCCCGTTCGCGGGATTCGAACCTCGGACCGAACTAGCAGTGTTCAGCGACTTTACCGCTCGGCCGCTGGTGGCCCTTTTAACTATATAGAGCGAAGCGGTAAGAAAAGCTGGTCTATATACAGGATATCATTGCGGAACATGCTCAATGCAAGCTTCAAAGCGTGTTACGACAATGCGTTAGCTTAACTGCCATTATCACAATCCTGTGGTCTCGATAACTTTCCTACGATGTTTATGGAAATAATTACTAAAGAGAGATCTATTCCATATGTTCTCATTTGTACAAACCTGAAAAACATTACTCATCATTTAAATTGGAGTATTAAATTCAGTCTCAGAATGATCAACGATATACCAACTATGATTTAATTTGTTTTGCTGATTTGTTTATTTGCGTTTTTTTTTTTTTTAAGATGAAAATATTTTAAATCAATGATTTAAGCTTTATGGCCTTCACCAGACTGAACAATTGTTTTTTAATCTTGCGTAATAAATTTAGTTTTTTCTCTTAATCTTATTTCATTAGTTTATCAAAGCACATTATTCATTTTAGTACTCTTTCAATGAGAAGTGAATTCTCATTGGATTGAAAAATCTCATATAAAATAAACGTGCTCAAGAAAATTCCAGTTAAACATCTCGAAGAATATAGAATAAATAGTTAGGTGACACTTCTTCTGGTTGTATGTAAAACAGACTTTATGCGTTAAATATTCTCCTAGTCTTAATGGAAGTAACAATTCTTTAAATAAAAAATTAAACAATTAAAAAACTTTCCTCATACCCCACGTACTATTTAAATTTGGATACAATGGAATACCCCCATGATGTGATAATATTCTACTGTAAATTAAACAATATTGAAATAAATTAAATAAAAACTCACCTAGAATTCCCAATCTGTAGTTAATTGTGACAACGAGGACATTTCCTAAGCTGGCCAAAATGCTTCCATCATAAGGATTTCCGGCATTCCAATCATATGATTCTCCATGAATGAAGACCAAAACAGGGTATTTTGAAGGATCCCGACCAACTAGAAAATAGAACAAAGTTTATTTATCACATATGTTTAAAAAGCATTGTTTAAATATTTACATATTCTTAATTAGCAGCAAAATATGAGGTCACGTAGCAAAAAAGCAAGTAATACAGTTAAGCAAAAATACGCTGTATTTCATTGCTAATTATTTTACATTTCTTGCGTAAAAAGGATTTCAAGAGCATATTTTAAAAATAACTAGTCATTATTCTCACATGTGAAACAATGTGTAATAGTCAGAGCTCGCACTCGGTTAACAGTTTTACGATTAACGCTTGAAACAAAATATCAGCAGAAAAGTAAAGTATCAAAATCTGTAAAATGCAAATGGGAATTATTAATAAATTGTATTTAAGAAATATTTTAGTTTCCTTCATTCGAGATTTTAAAATTGGAACAACATATAAACAAATTTGAGATGGAAATATTATAAGACTCTGCAATGGATGAGAGCAACATTAAAAGCAATTTATCTACTTTTAAACATAAAACAAAGGCTGATATAGCAATCAAATTGACTGATTTTAGAGAAGCAAAAAGTCATAAAATCTGTTTCTGAGGTATAAGTAAATTTGAGTTATGCGGTATAAGTTATGTTTGAGGTAAGCGGTTAGAAACTGGATAAATACTAAGGTGACACGTAAATCTGTAGGAAATTAAGCTTAAATTTATTTTTCCCTTTGTTACGTAAAGACAATAGTTATGAATGCTAAGTATATTAAATTCTGAATCATCATAATTCAATCGTGCGTACTTTTTAACATATTTCGGTGTAGCAGATGCTATGGTGAAAGAAAAGCCTTGCACCCTAAATTTTTATATTTTAATGTACTGTCATCTCAAATAAAAGAAAGATAAAAGTAAAGAAAAAGAAAACGAATAACATCTGATAAACTGCAACAAGACAGATATGGAAGAAAACCTCCACTACTTATATTCAGATCTGAACTAAGCATACTGATTCCTGATACTCGAAATATGAGTAAAATAGTGAAATTTTAAAAAATGCAAATATTTTATGCATTCTGTAAAGAGAGAATGTATCTTATCATATCAGGTTTTCGACGAAAATATCTTTAGAGAATTTGAAATACATTTATCTATTTTTCAGAAATAAGGAGCACATTTTTATTATGATTTGTGGTCAACTGATGATATATCATTGCCAAAAAAAATATGTACAACCGTACTTCAGTTTCCTCTGAATAACGACTCGGATAAGTTCTTCAATCAGTTATATTATGTTAAACCACTTTCTTATCTCAATCATTTCCTGCCAGAATGTAAATTTCTAGCTCGCGCAATATTCAAATGACTTAGAAAGAAGAGAACATTTAAAGGAAGGTTTCAGAGGGTAGAATCAGAGCGTGTTCTGCCTGTTGAAGACCACGTTGCTAATTTGATTTCCTAGCGAGTAGTATTCTACAGCGTTACGTTATTGCCATTAGGCTAGTTACGCTGGCCTTGGGTCAGAGCCAGCTTGCGTGTATTCTAATTGTTATAACTTACTTTTTTTACTTTTAGTTAAATTCATTATCTTTGATTTAAACATAATTGTTGGCTTTTGAAAGCATGTGCTGTGCCTTCTGTTAACCTTGAGTCAAATAAAAGAGTTCTATAGAACTTTTCTCTACCTCTGTGGTACTAGTCATAGCCAAAATTCGCATTTAGTCTTAAGAGGTCTCGTATATTTGATGTTACCAAAGAACACGAGACCATATAGTGGCTCCAAGGTGAAACTCCAAGGTGTATTTCGCCCCCCTCATCGTCACAAGTTCCGCCGACTAGGCTTAATTCCATGGACAGATTTGGATTGATCATTGACACCGTAAGGCCTACTATGAAACCTGCACTCACCTTTGTCCAGCTATACGTATAATCTTTGAAATCAGAATTTGAAGCACTTTCTTGCTCTACTTTTCATACTAATCGAAAGAACGAGAGCAAAATATATGCGTATTTCTCTCTAGCAAAGGTGAATCCCGTTTCACTACGTCATAACACTGATTTCGACCTGTTAACCAACTGTTTTTATTCTAGTTAATTTAACCAGAACTAAGATAAAGCTCATTTTTATAGCAGTTTCTTTAATTTTTCCCGTCAGTGTACTATATTATTTTTAACAACATTCCCTTCTCAGTCACAGGAACGGAAATACTTACTGTGGAAAATTTAAGTACAGATTTACAAATATAGGATTACCATGCTACATAAAAAATTGCTTTTATTTAAAAGAAATTGCAAGAGAAACAATATTTGGATTAATTTCTAAATTTCATTTTAATGCATTTTATTCGTCCCTACCCTTTATGAGCTTATGAAACATCGTTTTAAAGCATGAATAGAAAGGGCATAGCTATATTTCAGTAATCTTCAACAAATATTCTTGACAAGTATTTATACATATATCCTAGTAAGCAGATACATGTTTCTACAAAAAATGCTTTAGCATGCTTTAGTATTCTTATTTAAGAATTATGCTTACATATTCTTTCTACAAAAAACGCTTTAGCATGCTTACATATTCTTATTTAAGTTACTTATACGTATATTGTCGCAGCTCTGATGCCTAGGTAAATTCATTTAAATTCGGTTTTTTCCTCGATACATACTCCAAAAATATCCTTCAAAGTATATGATGACTTATTCATATGCAATAAATATATAGCTGATAAGAACAATACGTCATTAAAAGGTTATTGCTCATAATTTTGTTACATTCCCATCATATTCGTTATGCTGTCTGTAACTGAATTAATCAATATGTAGGTGTAAAAGAACGTAGGTGTACATACGCAGTAAAATGAATACAAATTTACTTCTAATTTCACGTCTTTCGTTCCTTTTTTACAGTTACTGTATTTTAAAAAACAATTTTAATGAATAACACCTAACTATAGATATCGGGTTATGACTTTTATATCCTGTGTAGACACAGGCACAGCATTTTAATGAACTAATACCTTTTCTTCATAGTTATTTCTAAGGCTTTTCTGTTTACTAAGCTCAAGAAGCCCAATAATAATGTACACCATAAACAGAAACTTCACGATTACTTTACAATAAGAAAGCTGTTTCAGAACAAGACCAATTGTTCTTTTGTCTGAAATAAACACTTTATTAAGAAATACAGGTTATGCAATAATACTTCCACACATTTAGCTCTTTTTAAAAGAAAGAGGAATTATCAGCGGAGGGAACATTTACAGATTTCGATAGAAGCAGGGAAAAAAAGGAAGCTTCCTAATTTTCCCAGGTGGGTGATTTAATTTCTCCAATGATACTGATTGATTTGATACAGAAATTTAGCATTAAGTACAAAGGTAGGTGAAGGTGAACATTTCTTGGACTCTTTTAGAAGACGTCTGAAACTTGTTCCTTGCCCTAATGGATACAAATATTCCTCTCGTTTTGGTGGTCATTCTATATATTTCAAGCATTGGAGGAAATAGCAAATGTATTCGGAGAATTTGAAAACATATATTTGCTTAAAACTCTTATCGATTAAAAGAAAATACATACGTTATCCCTTAAATAGTAAATTACCTTTTGCAACAATTAATGTACTAAAAACTAGTGGAAATAATTTATGTATCACTGCAAAAGCTTCTCTAACTTACCAAAACCAAGGTAATTTTCTTCAAACCTCTGACGAGAACGTCTTTTTTGTAACAGCTAAATTAGAAAAAGAGGACTGTAGGAATTTTACAAGTACGATTTATACAATTTTTTGAGAATATCACAAAACTTGCATACACGCTTAAGTTTGAAAACTTGTTGGGAAAAGTCGTATTTTTGAGAGAACATTAAAACAGTTATGAGCATCAGTTTCTGTAACAGCATTTGGACTTACTCCGGAAAATCTACGCTCAGTAGCTGAGGACAAAGAAAAAGCTTTCAACAAGACTGTCAGAAGAGGGAAATGAACACCTAAACTATTGGACCATTACTATGATTGGGAAGATTATTTCTAGATCCGGCATCGTGAAAATCCGGAAGCAAAGCAAGAAGAGCAAGGCAATCAGTACAGCTTCACTGGCAAGACGGAAAGGTAGCCATGATAAGTTATTGTTAAGATGTTACCTAGTTTTATACCGATTGAAGTTACAACTAGGCCTGATTGAAAAATGGTATTCACTCGGTAATATTTAACATCTACATCTAATTTTATTACGTGATTTATCACAGCGTAAAAAAGTGAAAATATGACGTGAAAGAGTTGTTTAGTGGTGCAAATAGGTAAGGAGACGATTTGGATATAGAACTACAAATTTCTAAAGAGGATATGGTGTTATCTTATGGTGATTTTCTATGGTGTTATTTTAAACATGTATTCATTATTAGTAGCATTACTTCCATGTTTAATTAACTGGTTTTAACACTGGTAATTTAAAAATTGAAAAGCTTAAACTTTTTTGATTTGAGAATTATTTTCTGATATTAATTTGCATTAGGAGTTCAAGCTTAGGAACTGTTTGCTCTTCTGAATTTGCTCTGTCGCTAAATCATTATGCCACTTAGTAGTACTATAGTAATTAAATTCCCAAATGTAATTTACTGTATTGCAATGCAAATTTTAATATGTTATTATCAGTTCACTTCTTAAAAATTTAATATAGTGTTCTGTTATCGGTAAGAATGAAAGCTAGGTATCTAAAATCGTGCAACCCGTTGCTGTATATGGGATTCTAAGCTATAAATTATCTGGATGCATATGGAGATAAGCTTTAAATAAAAAAAATCAGCAATGCAAAGCTATATGTAAAACCTTTAGTGTTATAAATATGCTGTTGAAATTTGTGGGCAATTGTACAGTGTGATGAAATTCAAGCATGAGAAGTGAAAAAAAATTATAACAACTTAAATAGCTCGGCTTTGAAGAGACGCTATTGCCAATCCATTTTCACTTCAGAACGACGTATTAATCGCAGTACCTGCAGAAATTTTTCTATCATTCTTATTTCCGCCATCTGTGCTAAAAGAGATAAAAATTG